TTTAATCAAGCAGAACTTGAAGCGAGGGTGAGATAATTAGATGTTAACCTTGAATAATTACCATAATAGCATTCCTGCTTACATTTAGAAATTAGACACTGTTAAATGAGATGTGAATTGCAAAAACTTATTTCCACTGTTTTTTTTTTTTCTCCCCAAGTGTTGTAAACCTTGACCAAGGTCACAAACATGTAAGTACATAAAGCGGAGAGGTTACTTCTTAGCTGATTAGAACCTGCACTAGGAAAAAATAATAATAATAACAAAGCAAATAAACATCCTGAGCAATTAGTGAACAAAAGGTCTTGTAACAAAAGGTAATCCAACATTTTATCCTTAATACAAAAACGAAATGTAGCACAGAAGAGAGAGAATCAACCTTTCACTAAACCTGACATTCATCTTGCTAAATGCTGCTGCCATGAACCTTTGCATACAGGAACTTTTTTATGGTTTGATATTGAGTTCCTGCATCTGCTTCGATGCACGGACACGCAGACGTACAGCCTCCTTTGATGAAGAAAGATAGTGTGTGACAGCTAAGAAGGACGCAGAAAGTTATAGAGACAACATGAGGAAAAACATGGTTAGTTTGTCTGCTCGACTGTCCGTCCCGTCTCTCAAATGAATTACAGCACTGTAGCTTAATGAGCTGTGCGGGATGGTGATGGGACACACATGCACACACACGCTGAACAAATACAAAGTCCATTCCATGGTTTAACAGTCAGACAATTGGAGCACCTCTCTTTATTCATCAACTAAACAAATGAGCTTCATTTGTCTGTCCTCATTTCGCCATCATCAAACCTATGTGTACGTGTGTTTGTGTGTGTGTGTGTTAAAATGGTGATCTAGTGCAGGTCATTCAGAGCTAATTAGGCCCGGTTTGAGGCTTCTATCAGGTATAATGAGTGAGATCAATGAACAGCTAAGACGGTTCCAGAGACCAACTCTGTCTAGCATCTCCAAAATTAAAAAACACTACACACTCATGCTTGAAAGTGCACACACACAGCCACATTGCAAATAAAAACACTTAAGGGCCTTTCACACGGTGCTATTTTAGGCTCTGTAAGATGTAAATTTGACAGATGTGAAACAAAAATGGTAAAAAGTTGAAGTTTTGAAACGGTGGGTCAAATCTATTGTGAAACTTTTGGCAACCTGTGGCAAAATTCAGACAGAAATTCAGCCCAAGTTCTCACAGAGTGACTGCTGCTTTAACCGTCGACTACAAAACCATCTGATCTGAACATGACACAGAATACGCCAGCCCATGTAACATGTTGTATGTACAATTTGTTTCAGAAAAAAATTTAAAGGAAAAGTTTGTGTGACTCTATCAAGTATTTTTTTTGTTGTTTTTCTTTTCATATTGTAGCCCAATGATTCATCCCATGTACATTACATAATCTGACGTGCCTGAAATTGATATCATGCAGTCTGACACGGATTGACACCATGATTTTATTGGACCCAAGCTGCACGCAATAAACATCCACAACTGTTGTTATTGCACAAACTAAAGGCGCCTTTGCAGGTGAAGATGTACTTTTGTGCATCTTTCTGAAAAGCGATTATATAACAGCAACGTCAGACAGTTAAATCCATGTCTGTCACTACAGGAGTGCTAAAAAAAAAATGGAGCAAATTGAAAAACATTTTGCTTTGCCCACCTCCATGTCCATCGACTGTGAAGAATTTTGGAGCTTTTGTGATTCTGTGTCTTTTTCAAAGCATTTAACCGGGGACCAGGCTCGTCTAATCATTAGGCAGACACCCCACTGACTCAAAGTGATTAAAATCTACTGTCTAATTATATTTCTATAGGATGACATCAATAGTTGTAAAGATTCTTGGGCAACTAAAAAAAAAAGTTTATGGACACGAAAACATGCTCATGAACTTCAGCTATCTGAAAACTTCTCTGAAAATTCTCATTAAAACTGTTTGAAATCTTTTTACTCCAAGCTAAAAGAAGCTGAGGTAAACACACTAATGACTATGATTGTGTGCGTGTGGCAGAGTGAGAGTTAGGGAGAGGGAAGGATAGAGAGGGATGATCTGATCAGTCGCAAAAACATGCTGCATGTTTATCATGACTTGTATTTGAACTGGACTCATGCAGAGGGACGGGACTGAGCGAAATGTGCATGTATTTGTGTGTGCGTGTGTGTGTGTGTGCAGAACTGTCAGACAGCATGCAAAGCCTTTCCCTCATACTAGGACGGAGACACTAAACAAACCCAGAAAACACTGCATGAACCACATATCACACAAATCAAACGCTCACATACGTAGTACACACTGTGCATACAAAGACATACACACAGAAAAAGACAGAGCTATCTGAGGTTCAGCTTCTGTGCACCAAGGCAATTTGTAATATAGATTTCCTCTATAGGCCACTGTAGTGTACCATTTACCATTTCAAACCCTTTGATTTTTTTCACCAGCGGATAATTCATCTTCTGCTGGTCAATAACAGAGATTGGGACCTAATGAAGGAGTCATAGTCACAACGGCCATCACACTGGTGTTTAAACACTGTTTGGAGTCAAATTCATTGAAAAGCTCATCTGTTGTTGAAATGATGGAGGATAGCAAGAATGCAGAAAGGAAGTGTAAAGGATTGTGTGCGAGTGCAGGAGGCAGCCAGTGACTACATATGAATGAAGGCATAGTCGTACACAAACTCAAATAAACAATGAAAGGCACAAGACGGATTGACTAAATGGTTTAAAAACAGTATTCTAAGAGTTTCAAAAGCTTTAGATCAAATGATGTAAGTGCACATGTCCACAGTCCACACTGAGTCTGCACAAGACAAAAATAGGTGAAAACTATTAATTAGTAAGTAAACAAATAAAAGCTGGGGAGGAATTCCATTACTGGCATTAACAACTTTATGAATTTGTCAGTCTATTAACATCGGCTGATAGAGGGCTGTAGTATCTACTTTATTATTATGATAGTAATTAGACGGTCTCTGCTGTTGTTACAAACACATCACCTCTAATATCAGTGTCTTGAATTAATACTTTTGGGTAATGTGCTCATTCAATTTTCAATTTGTTGGTGACAGATGGATGAGAAGATGAGAAGATGGATACCACTTTCATATTTATCCATTAAATATGAGGCCAGCAGCCTTTAAGCTAAGCTTAGCATAAAGTATGGAAACAGCAAGCCTGGCTCTGTCCGAAGGTAACCGCAGAATTTCTTTCACACAACCCCCAGGAGAGCACAACCTGTCATTTTCACACTTAGGTTTTCGTGCAGATGAAACCGACGCGATACATTGTGTTCAGCCGTAGAGGTGTTGGTCAGTGCATTCTGTTACCTTTGACCAGAGCCGGGTCCTGCTGTTTTCTGGTTTGCAGTTTTTATATTAAGCTAAGTGAACCACATTCTGTCTCCAGCTTCATATTTACAGAACAGATTTGAGAGTGGAATCTATCTTTTTTTAACTAGAAGAAGCATGCTTCTCAGAAGATCCAGCTTTTTCTTTAAGACTGAGAAAATTGCTGGACTGTGCCTGCAAACAGTGCAAAAGGCACAATGTGGTCAGAATAAAAACTGATTCATGGGATTCAAGCACAAGGCTGAGCCCAAGCAAAAAGCTAGTCATTATTTTACATGTAAGATTCTGTATTTTTGTCATTTGGTGAATTATATCAATATCAGAAAAATATGACAAGTCATATTTTTGACAGATTTTAACTATATAAGCAACAAAAAACACACATTACAGCAACTGTTGCTTTGAATGTAAAGGACAGCCAGACGTACTTCATTCTTGATCATTTATCCACTAGTAGCTATTACCATGTCTACTTCATGCAGCACTCTGACTTGACAAACTCCGACATGTCATGCAACATTTCTGATCACAGACAACTGAGAAAAGAGGACCAGTCGCACTGCAAAGGCAGAGATGAAAGGATTTTCAACAGTTGTGAAATGGAAGAAGAATTCTTCACGACTACTGGCTTGGCTACTGACTGACCAATCAACTGGCCTTAGCTGGTGTCTTACTGGCCCTGGGCAATCACAATTGTCAAACCCTGGTGTACTAAACAGAAAGAAAGGAGAGCTACGCTATGTGGGTTGCATTATTCACAAGGGCAGGGTGAAAAAAAAAAAAGAAACGAAAGAAAGGTGAGGAGAAAGCGAGGGAAAGAGAAAGAAGCAAGGAGAGGAAAAGACAGGGAAACACATGAGTGAGAAACAGGAGGAGAGAAAAAAAAAAGATAGTGGGAAAACAGACAAGGAAACAGGCAGAGGATAGAAGACAGAAAAGGAGAAACTTTAAGAATTAAATGAACAAAATGCAAAATCAAGATCTGAGAGAGCGCCGCGGTGTAAGGAAGCTTACGACTGAATTCAAAGTTTGTCAAATCTAAATGAACATCACTTCCCCATACTGGCTTTACCCTTAATTATCCATTCTGCCTTTGTACAGCCGCGGCTCAGCTCTGACAACCGCTCTCCCCTGAGATTCCCCCTTCGCTCCCAGCCAGAACATTAGGGAATATCAGGGAATATTACACCCAGGAATTAACGCTCCAAATCACCTTGCTAGGTTTAGGTCCCGCATACACCCCTCCCTCTCTTGGACAAGATAATCCGGGCTCTAGCACCGGATATATGCCACTAATCATCAAAAAGGTAAGGGGGGGTGTGCAGGGAGGGAAGGAAAGGTAAGGAAGACCTTGGAGGGAATCGAAAAAGGGGGAGAGGAGAGGAGAGGAGAGGAGAGGAGAGGAGAGGGCTTGCTACAGAAATAACACACCGACCAGCTGAAGGATTAGAAAATTACATCTAAATAACATGAAAACATGATATTAGTGTATCTTTCCGGATCACAATGAATAGTCTTCTCACCATGCAGGTGTCAAACGTCTCACCCGTGTGGCGCCCCGAGCCGTTTAAAGCAAACACTTCAAATTATTTGCCAAGGCTATGTCACTCAGGTCTGGTGTGTATTTATTTACCTGGTCTTGTGCATCCTGTTTCTCTCTCTCAGCCTTGAGTTTCTGATCGACAGCCTGCCGAAGGTTCTTCCCGAGCTCTGTCACCTCCTTCTCCAGCCTCACAGCCATGGACCTGCACACAAAAACAACACTAAATTAAAGCTAATCCACAAGAAAGTCAGTATTTAACATTTCAGCTGATTATCTTAGATCGATTTTTTATTTTTTTTAATATTCATGTCAGTCTTTTATACATTTTTGCACTCATTATATCCGTTAATTTTGCTTTAAAACAAACACAAGCGTGTAACTCCACTATTAAGTTCCTTGAAAATCCAAATCTGTTAGTGTTTAACATAGGCCCACGAACGTGTAAGTGTGTGTGTGTGTGTGTGTGTTTGTGTGTGTGGCAGCCGAGCTAAGGGAATGTGAAGGGGATCAATATGAAGGGGTCTATTCCTGCCACGCAACTGTGCGTCTGCGCGTATGTGAGTCAGTTAGTGTCTACGGGTGTGTGTGTACATGTGTGCGAGTGAGTTTGTGTGTGCCGGCTGCCCTGGCTACAGCGGAATCAATACGACAAATGATTACCATTTCCACAAACCTCCCTCCACAGCCTCGCTCCGGCCGCTCTTGAGCCTCAACACCCCCACCAACCCTCTCTCCGCACACACACGCAAATAAATACACACACAGACCAAAACAAACCAACCCCCCACCTCTTGACCCACACCTTTAAAACCAACATAAAAATGAGAAATTACAAGTTTATGAATAGTAAAAGTATTCGGGCCTTTATACAGCCAAAACTTTTGTGACCATGATCAGAAGTTAGCATATTATGGATTTTTCAGTTAAAAAGGAGAATGACTATTCAGGGAAAGACCACAAAGTCAGCATCTGTCTATTAGTGTTTATTGGCATTTGTGCTAAATTGAGTCATTCAAAAATATCAAAAAAAAACAAAAACAACAAAAAACTGAATACAGAGTCCCACATTTAGCCATCTAAACCCATTTCACATCTGTTATAAATTTAGTTTATAATGTACCCTTCAGTTAATCAATCATTCTATTAAAACTTTCACAAATTGCTACATTCTCTTTTTTAGGGATGCAGCTTTTTTTTTTTCAATATCAATTAATCTAGCAAGTATTTTCATAATTTATAATTAAAATTATGCAATACAGCTTCCCAGGTCCCAAAGCAATTTCTTCAGATTACATGTTTGGTCCTCCTGAAAACCCAAAATCCTAAGATTAATATAAAAAAGATGAAGAAAATCAGTTAATTTTCTCATTAAAGAAGCTGAGGCAACTGAATGTTTTTTTTGTTTTTTTTTTAAATACACCCAAATGATTAATCAAAATAAGTGCTTGTCCATCATTTGATAGATTACTAATAGCTGCAGTATTACTTATGAAATACTGCCTTGACTAACTTCTGCCCTTGTGAAATCGTGGACAGCAGAGAGTTGAACAAGAGCGCAAGAGATGGCCAGCACCTCTAAGACACCAGGAATCCCCTTAAATCATACTTTCCTTTTCCTTTTTAATAAAAAAAAAAAAAAAAGAAAGACAAAAAAAAAAGTATTCATCATAAAATGATATGAAAAAGTAAATCTTGGTAGTTATTAAAGCATAACCAGCAAGAACTTGCCAGTTTTAATTAATTTTCTTCTCAAATGATCGGAAGAGAATGTGATATATAAATCCTACGATATATAATCCAAATAAATTATAGCTGACGACACACATCCATTGACTAAATGTTTCAGCAGCAACTTTCAAACTGATACTAATAGAGTAACTCAGGGGGAGTAAAAGCTGAAGCAGAAGCAGGAGAGCCAAAACAAAAAGGAAAGAAAACGCCTGATAGATTGGTCCATGGAGAGAACATATGATAGGATGAACAGAGCGGGAGAGAGAAAGGAAAGAAAGAGAGGAGGCATCCTGTGGAGAAAGGAGGGGATTTCCCACAGCACAGATGGAAGCCATTAGTATGGTGTTGTTGCTTAAAAACCTTTCATGTCTTTGCAGTTATTAGATAATACTGGGTTAACAGTAAACAGCATGATTCTGCAAATGGATGTAATATGCAGACACAGCGATTGTTTTACCATCCAGTACCTAAAATTGGTTTAAATGTAATAAAACGTAATAATTCAGAATGTAACCTATAAAGTCTCCATACTGAGTTTTAAATTGTCGGTTGACGATGAAAATGTTCCATGGCTCGACTTAACCGAGAAACTCCCTGAGACGGAGACCGTTGCAGTGAGGTCATGTCGAAGCCAAAGCCACAACCGCAACTATGCGCGCACAAACAGACGCGCACAAACACACACTCCACTGGGTGATACATGCTTGCTGATGTCATCACCACAGCTCTGGTGACACACAGGGGTCAACCAGGGGTCTCAACTCTGAACTCTGAACTCCACGACCTAACATCTGCTTACTCGACGTGTGCCACCAATTTGTGTTTAGATATTTCTGTGTAATTCAGGAATGGATGCAAAAAAAAAAAGAAGAAGAAGCAGGAATTTTGAGTTGATATGTTCAGAAATAACAACGTGTGACAAACCAAAAAGTTAGGCATTTTGCTCCGTAAGACTCTCTTAAACAATGTACGCATTTAGAGCTTAGGGCTGTTCTGTTCAACACATGTTCAGTTAAAAAGCCTACTGTATGCCGCACGTAAAAAGTCAAAATGTTTTTGATTACTGAGCTTACACAGGGGACGATGGGGAATGGGATAAGAGAGGAAGCTTCTTTCCCTCTTTCCTTCTCTCCCTTCTTACCTTATTTTCTCCTCTGCTAGCTTTCCTTCATTCAGGCACCCCTCCATCCGCCTCGCCTCCTCTGCACGAGCTGCCAACTCCTCCACTGAGCAGGAGAGAGAGAGAGAGAGAGAGAGGAGAGAGATGAAGAAAAAGTGTGAGATAAAGAGCAACAGTTCACTTCAGACGGTCTTAGTTAGGATTCATTAGAGACTAGGCCTCAATCAAATGACAGAAAAACAGCATTTTAAAAAAAAAATACGTTATTAATAAATTATCTTGAGACGGGGCTGGATTTTTAAAAATTCTTTAAAGAAACAAATATGCAATATGACAACAGACGTGCGCAGCACTTCACATCTTCCAGCAGACCAAGGTTAATATATTGATTTACGAAACATGCATACACAGGGGTGATTATTATTCCTCGTCAAGTTCAGCGTGAGTGGAAAAACATGAACTGCGAGTCACCTTCAAAGCCAACGAAGAACTCTGCCACAGTGGAGGCACTGAATGCCTTTCAGAGGTGGAGACGGGAAGGAATGAACACATTGCGCTGCTTACACTTGGACGGAGAAGCAGCCCTTTTGTTGAGAGACAAAAGAAGTGCTCCCTGATTTCGTCAATAGATGGCACTCTTTACCTTGAGCAGGCCACTTGAGCTCATACCCCTGACTGCAGCCCTTCAATCACATTCCCTTTTCAGCCGTCTCCTCCGTCTACATGCAATAAAACCCCATTGTCCTACACTTAGTAGTTTAGCACACTGAGCGGGTGCATAATAAACCACTAGTCAGGTTTCTTGGTTAGGTTTGCTTTGCAGGCCCTTTTCATTTTGAATTTAAAATTTAGGATTTGCCTCCTTCCACCCCCTTTTTTTTGTTCTGTGTGCTGTTTTGTGAGTCAATGTTTCTTCATAGCTCTTAAAACCTTTTCACTAAATTCAGTATTCATTGAATATAACATAAACTGTCAGCCATCGGTGGCCAAGGCTAGTGAATATTGAGAAGGTGTGTGCGTTGAATATGAAGAGGTGTGCGTGCTCCTGTCCTGTCTGTATGTGTATGTGTGTGTGTGTGTGTGTGTGTGTGTGTGTGTGTGTGTGTGTGTGTGTGTGTGTGTGTGTTGAATATTTACAGGACAGACCTTGACTTTGTGTGCAAGTGTATTTGAGTGTCTGAAATAGAAATAGAGAAATGTTTAGCGTATTTCTATGATGCTTTTAAGGCCACACACCATGCTGAGGCTGTGGCGGTGGGACAGATTGAACAGGCAGGCAGCTAAAACCAACAGCGTAAAGGAAACAATACAGAGAAAGAAGATCTACATTTAATAAAACTATTATTAATTTATAGCTTCGGAGCATCGAAAATGTTTAAACTGAATCCGTAGGAAAATTGAAGCTGCAACCGGAATCGCTAAATATTTAACGATGCACAAACACTTGTATTTGTGTGTGTATGCATGTGCCCTGCCTTGGCTATTTTACCGAACCTCAAGGTGAAAGTTTGCTATGAATCTCAATAATCAATAAAGCAGAGATGTGAAAACTTGAGATGGGGATCAAATTCGTATTCAAGGCATTAGTATCGAGGTGACCTCAGTGACACCTCCCACCAGGGGAGGCCACAGAGAGAGCAATTAGCTGCACAGACTGACCGTTTACACAAACTCTCCTATTTGCACCCAAACACGCATAAGCGAAAGGTGCACACACAGCTGAAACACACAGAAAAATTAAGTGAAAAACAGACAGCTTACTTTAGTACTTAAAACTTTTTTAGAAATTTAAAAACAGATTGATGCAAAGCACATTGCCGCACACGTGCATCAAGTGCTTACCTTAGACAAATAGATAAGACGTGGGGTATATTTAGCTTAGTGGGGATTGATGACCAAATACTGACAACATTTTCCACATAAATCGAGGCTCTGCAGAGGATTGTGGATTTCTTGACACATCTCGGTGAAAGAAGAGTCCATATTCTCAGGTCTGAGGCCTTTTACAACCTGTTTTTAGTGGCTTCACAAGTTAAGTTATGACAATAGTCCACAAGATCTAAGATCTTTGGTCTCTCCCTTTCTTGACCCTTTTATTCTGGCTTCACAACTTATGCTGTGACATTAGTCCATAATCTAACTCTCTCTCGATCTCTCCCTCTCGACGCCTTCATAGGAGCTTCAAAGCCCATCATACAGCATCAGCCTATAATCACAGATCTGCGGTCAGATTACCCTGCTCTCACGGCTAACCTTTAACATGAGAAGGATGAAAACCTTGCTAACCCTGAATCAGTGGTTGGGGCTAGGCTGGGCCCTGCCTGGCCCTCATAAAAGCTTCATAAGGCTTCATGGGAGCTTCCTTTGGCTTTGTTGGGGGATTCGTAGCTGGCTAAGGTGCTCCCGAGAGACGTCCCAAAGCCTCCCAAGACTCTTTCTCTCTCTTTCTGAAGTTTCATGAGCTTGCAACACTGCTTTTGGGTATAAGCCAAAAGGTGCAGGCACACAGCCGCACACCGTCATGCACACAAATACACCACAAGAAGAAGAAAAAAAAAACTCATATGCACACAACAGTGAACACTCACAAAGACAAAGACTAACACACACATAGACTCTAAAACTCACACACACACATACACCCCAACACACTCCCCTCTTGCTCTCTCCTCTCCGCTTTATTTACAATCCTCTGGCAGCGGTACAAGGGCCCGGGGCTATAACACACGGCACCTAATGCTCAAACTGCCAGGTAATCTCATGTCTGACATCCCCCTTTGATAGAAACTGATCAATAGACTCTTGTAAAGGAGTCATTTTCTCTGATGTTTCTACCAACCACTTCTCTCTATCCCTAACTCTCTCCCCTTTTCTCTCTCTCTTTCCCCCTTCTCTTTTATTAGCCATACATTTATAATTCATATTTCAGCAGGGCTGAGTTTGCTCTGAGACAAAGGGGAGGAGGAGGGGGGGGTGGCTTCTTTGTGTAATAAAGAACAATAGTGGTGAAATGATGGGGAGAAATGCCAGTGTTTGCTGCTGGTTCCGGTGAACAACAGTTTTGGGGATCGATAGAGTGTGAAATGGGATTATAGCTAGTAATAGAGGTGAATTGGAGGAGAGAGGCCTGTGCACGTGTGTGTCCAGGGATCCAGATTGGATAGCAGCACACACACATATACACACACACACACACACACACACACACACTTGTACATTCGCACGCACACGTGCGCTAAATAATGATTTCATCATCTTTAGGCAGATGCACATCAGCAGCACAGAGGGGTGGTAATATCACATTTCTGTTTTCGTGGAAGTGTGGAAATAAGGATATAGTGTTTTTGTTTATGCTGTTATTTCATTTGTTGTCACACAGCATCACATTTATTTTGCATTATAGCCCACCTTACAACACATCTTATTTAAGATGTAAGATGACACTATCAGTCGTATTTGAATATCCATCCCTGCTTGAATTTCACAGGCACATGCTATGAAGACAGCCATTTAGATTCCCCCACATAGGATGTTCGACAGGACAGATTATGATCACAATCTTGTTCATCTACACCTTTATATGTATTTTCTGTAATTATCTATAGATGCTGTATGTTCTACAGTGGGGAGCAGTATGCTGCATTTACTGCACACATGCTTACTATACTTCAAGAGCCATATGTGACAGAGTGACAGCAAACTTGACACATACAGTCATACGCCAAGTTTAAGGACTTTTTTCTATCCTTTTTAATCACTCCCTTCTTTCCAGTCTCTTCATCCTATCCTGACACAGTCTGATTGAATCCAGCTGCTTTCAGACACTTCAATCTCATCCATGTGACACTTCCCTGGTTCCCAACTCATTCTCCTCTCCTGTTTCTTTCCTTTTATCTGGCCACAGAGACCTTTCAGTATAATATCCATCACATTCCAACTACATTTATGTATACACCCTGCAAACTGCAGAATTCACACAACTAAACAGAGTTACAAATGAAACTAAAATTGATAGAGACCACAAAAAAAATGCCAGTTTATTTCTGTAATTGTCCAAACAGCAGCAGCAAAAATAGTTTTGGACTGACACGATTATTGGTTTTTTAAAGCTGATATTGGCTGTTGCTGTGTTAATATTTCATTGCATTTTTATTAACCAGCTGAATAATCCTGTAATTCTACAAAATGATATACTCACAAGTGACTGCATATACGCTACATACAACAATAGACCAGGTTAATAAGGTACATAAAGCAATGAAAAAGTAATGAAAAAAGGTGTTTATGATGAAATTTCCTGGTGGTGAGAGTCTCCTCTAGCAAGTTTTTTTTTCTCTTCTCCCCTCATTATTTTATACCTCTTTGTGCGTGCGTCCATACTTTTCTATCCATCCGCATTCTAACATGTTCGTTTTCTCAACCCACTCCATCCGGATCTACCATTATCAAGCAACAAACAGAATTATAACCACTCAATGTGATGTCTTCATAATAGAGAAAGAACCTCGACAAGGGCTTCGTGTTAATAAAAAGGCCCTTTGTTCATGACAGTAATTTCTCAAGCTGACTCCTCACCCAGTTTATTCAGACCACTGCTATATCCAGGTAAACAATGTCCCCTTTGTTATAATAATGCATCTTTATTCTTCTTAAGTCATTACAATGAGGCCCTACATTGCTGGATTGTATTTGCTGAAGGTAAAAGCTGAATAATATGTGGTTTTGTGTGGAGAGTAGAGTTGAGGGAATGCGTTTTGATCACAGACAAAGGCCAAGCTACACAGCGTTGTCCTTCTGTCTCTATCTTGTTAATGAGCAGTGTTCACCGAGCAAGCCAGCCACTGTCTGCCACAGAGAGAGACCTCAGATTCATCTCTCTGCGGACAATAGGTGATTGTGTGTGTGTGTGTGTGTGTCTGTGTGTGTGTGTGTGTGTGTGTGTGTTTGTACCTTGGAGAGCCAGTGTGTATGTGCTAATTAAAGCAGTGGGAGTTGGGAGAAATGGCTGCGAGCGTGCGTATGTGAGGTGTTTGCCTGGCGTGACCGTAGATGTGTACGTTAATTCTTAATGAGACATTTCTGTGCCCAGAGAGACCCAGCCATCACCATTCCTGCACTGACACACTACTACAAAGGCCACCGTCGGGCACGCGCACACACACATAAACCAGATCATTACCATACAGCTAAAGCAGCGCGCCATTAAATCAAACCTCTATCTGTGTGTGTGTGTGTGTGTGTGTGTGTGTGTGTCTGAGTTAACATTGTAAGCAGACAACTAGCAACCAAATCACCACAATGCTGGCTAATTCAAGCTAACTGATTGAGCTTACAACAGCGTGGCAGTTGCTGGAAGAAAAGGCAACACGCGCTGCATACTGTAGCTCCTCCAGCATGCGATGGGTTTCTGATGGCCAGTGTTGCCCAAAAGTTCAGCAGCAGGGAAATATCCAGAGAGATGACAAGAAAAGTAGGTTGATGTGGGGATCAAACAGTGAGCGAAGAAGAAAAACAAATATATTCTTTATAGAAAACTGCACAACTTGACTTTCTTGTGTATCTGACCTGAGCATGAAAGTTAATTGATATGTTACATATGTGTATGGTTGACTGTAAAGTTATTTGTTCGTGGTTAAATGGACAGACGGATGGGTGACATGAGCAACTTGTGTGAGTTTATCGACTGATGGCTACCTGTCACTTGGTGCTTGTTGCGTAGCTCCACCAGCTCTTGCCTCAGCTGCCCGACGGAGGCGCTCAGGCTCTGGTTCTGTCCGATGGCTCTCCTCATCTTCTCCTCCTCCTTCTGCAACTCCCCCTGAAGTCTCTGCGCCTCTCCCTTGTGTACATCCACCTCTCTACTCCTTCTCGCAGACTCCCATCTGGCCTCCGTTAGCTCCTCCTCAGACTGCCTGAGGAGCGTCACCTGTATCTGCAGCACAAGTAAGAGGAACAGTAAATAAGTGACACATGCATGTGTTGCGTCTATGGCCTTGTTCAGATCAAGCATCTTACCAACCGTGTTTAGAATGCACTTCACACTTGGCATCAAAAGGACTCTAAAATATGTCTTGAGCAATCACTTATTATTTGATTTTGCTTTGCCACTTGCATTTGCTTTTATCCACTGAAAACCTTGAATAAAACTTTCAACCAAAACAAAAATACATATTTGCCTTGGACTTACAGCCAGAAAAGAGAGACGGCGGTGGACATGAAAGTGGACATTTAGTGCCTCGCCTCAGAGGCAACTGTTGGCATGTATATAGTTCATCACTTCTGTGTGAGGTGTTTTGGAAGGCATACTGTAGTTCAGTCTGCTCATTGCTAACTTATGAGAAAGCCCTTCACAGCTGATGATTTTTTGTTCATACATCACATACAGTGCAACGTGTGTACTCCTGACGTGTATTAAGAACTGTCTCTTTTTGATCAGCTCACCCTAGATGCTCTATATGAGTAATTTAAGGCTTCAGCCCATGAAAAACATCATCATCATCATTTAAACATCAGTTCTCTTAAAAAATCTTTCACTCTCAATAGTTGTGAACTCAGCGTATGACTAAGCATTCATGCAAAGCATTAAACTCTTGTATAATTATGGATATATGCATAATAATAACGATTAATAATGTGTACATGCATAATGCATGTGATGAATGTAGATGTAGCCTTCAATATATGTGTCCCTACATGACATGGCCTCATTACATGGTATTCCACAGGGAAGATGGCTGGATGAATGGACAAGGTCTGACAGCAAGAGAGTACACCACTGTTACCTACACAAGTGTGTGTGTGTGTGTGTTTGTGTGTGTGTGTGTGTGTGTGTTTGTCAGACAGAACGTATGTGTGCATGCATATGATCCTGGTAAGCATTAACATGTGTTTCACTTGTATGTGCCAGAGAACGCACCAATTAATGTGCAAAATCCAATGTTACAACTTCCACCTGCGCACACAAAGCCCTACACACACACACACACCTACACACACACACGCACACACACACACACACACACACACACACATAAACGATGTGTCCAAGACTGCCAGTAATTTTGGCACTCTGCCAGGCTACAGTCACCACTTTGAGTAATTTGAATATTTAGTGTCCCATTGAGCTCTTAATTGGAGTCAATTTCACCAGCCTTGGCACCGTTTGGTGCTTTAATTAATGGCGAGGCAATTTGTTTCTGCCAGGCAATCACAGGACAATCACATGAGTGGTGGGTGTGTGGTGCCCGCGGAGGTTGTTGGAGAACTCCTGTTTGGAAACTTGAACTGAAACTCCAGCTCTCGTCCTTTGTCGAGATGCATGCACAGGCAACCTTTAAGGACAATGGAAGAGGCTTCTGGATTCAGAAGTGGAGGGGACACGGGTCAAATTAATATGGCTCTCTTTAAATTAGAGGACAAGTCAGCAGATATGCATTACTTTAATACCTTTTGGGTGCCCGCCAGCTCAAGTTCTAAGCATGATACTTCTTTTTTCAAACGTGCAACTTCGTCTTCAAGCTCGCTGCGAATGCTCAGGTGCTTGTGGTGGGAAGCAGCAAGAGTTTGCTTCAAACCCATGTTTTCCTGAGTTCTGTGAAGAGAAGAAAAAAGAATGACTGCCTGACCATACTGCTGTGTAAAGAACACATTGTCCCAGTTAACAAAATATATATTTTAAACAGGCAAGAGATTAGCTGAATTAAAACAAATTATTTGAATACACTCTGTTACATTTTCCCTCTAACCTATTATGTACTATTGTGTGCCATTTGGTGAGTAAATGGTTAAAAGAATGAGAAAGAGTTGGGGGTGGAGGCAGAGGAGAAGGGCATGAGAGGAAAGACAAGGACAGAAACCAGGATCAGCAGAGGAGAATGAGAGTTTTATAGACTCCGTTATTACTGTCTCTCCAGCTCTGACTTCATCTGAAGAATAGCCTTTTCACACTCCGCAAGGCGTTCAACCTGCTCAGTGCAGCACTGAAACACACACACACACACACACACATGCAGATACACACACACGTGCAAAGAATGAGGGCGCTGGAATGTAGCAAAAGTTTTGTGGTAAATTTTTTGCTGGAGTGTAGCAATTTTTTTTGTCAGTGTGAAACAAACTGTAAGTGTAACTCTACATTTATATGTACGTATTACACACAACTATAATGCAAACAAGTATAATCTCTAAGTTGTCATCACTGAATACAACTTTTAATTCTGTAATTATAGCAAACATATTTTATTGTTTTTTGCAGTGATAACATGCACAACTTGGAATCCTTAACAACAGTACAATCCCGTCTTACCTTCTGTAGCTGTTGTCTGAGTCGTGACAGGCTGAGATACTCCTCGTCTGAATAAGAATGGCTCTGCTGATAGAGCCGTAGGTCACGCTCCACTGTCAGTTTCTATGAGCAGAGAGAGAGCAAGTGAAATGGGTAGAGAGAAGGAACAATTTTTTTTTAACATTTCAAAGATCTAACATGTTTAAATGTTGCCTGTTTTAGTCTGATTTTAATCAGGTATCCACTGATAATGTTCCCACCATAATGCAAACAGCAACCGCTCTAAAACAGAAAAAGTCACAAAAGGGTACATTTGTAATGAATTAAATTTCAACAGATTAGGTGCATTTTCTTTTACTAATAAATGACAATGACATTGATGTGCCATTAAGGAATTGCATTATTATGTGTTCCACTCATTTGTGTATTGATTTGCACATGTGGCCTTGGTGCTCCCGGCACAGCTGACAAACCCCAACACAGCAAGCGCAACATTAACAAGTGAATCTGGTTTGGGAAGACTACAATTGCGCATAAAAATCTGAGTGTTTTTCTCTTAATTACAAAGGAATACCTCTGCAAAAAAGAAAAGGAAAAAAAAAAGCAAAATGTACCTTATTGTTTTCTACCACTGAGAACATTGCCTATGTTCAATATGCAAAAAAGTAAGAAAAACTGCTTAATGTATCACTGTTCTCAATCTTAGTCTATTAGCTGTTCCCTTTTATATAGGCAAATTATGCAACTAATTCAAAAGTAGACATCTTTGTAGAAAAGGAGAGAAATTTTACTTGTCTTCTAGTGTTCATCTTAATGTTATAGCGAAATATTCCCCAGTTAGAATACAAATGGACCAGAATAGAGATAGAATTAAGATACTATACCCACACTATGGAAGTTACAGTTTTTTCTATTTACCCTCAAATGTGAAACGTTATAACTTGTACAGTGGTTTTATAGTCATGTTTTAAAATTTGATAAGCACTTGGCTTTCTTTAAAATTTGGATTTTCTCGTAAACAGGGAATGAAGGCAATAGTGATTTTAGGGTTAGTTGAGCCCGATAGTGACACGAGGTAGCAAATTAGCAGGATGTGAAGCACCATAGGAACTCCTAACCTCTTGATAGGCGCCTCACAATCAAAGTCATTAGCCAGTGTAATAAAGGGCCTGAGATACAGCCATTCTTCAACAGCCTAACTCTTTTATAACCAACAGATTAAAGTTGATTGGATTAAAATGACATTCTGCCCGTCTGACCTTGGCGGCAGCAGTTAAGTTCATCCAAATTAAATTTCTCCGTAATAAAGATGATTCATTTGTTGCCTGACGTAGTAAATATAAAACAGAAAGAAAAAGGAGAAAAGATTAAGTGACACACGTCAGTGCACACGTGCACAAACGCACACTTGTGCGCACACATATACACACATGCGACAACACGAATTCACCCATGCGTGTGCTCACACAGCCCTGTTGGAGCTGGCAAGTACCTGGGTGCACACTCAAAACCACAGAGACACCCATCTGAGTAAACCTAAAACTTTAAACATGTCGTTTAAATCCTTATGCTGAGGTTAAAAAATACATTGTGAGACGATGAAGATTGTAACATTATTGGTTGCTCATTTTGAAATGAAAGACGGCCACTGAATGAGCCATGTCACCAGCCTTTCCACTGATTTTCACATTTAAATAGTACAAGGAACACTGTGTTTTCAGGTGTTTTCTGTCGCAAAGGGAATATTCAAAAATGTCTAACAAAACAGCTCGACAATTTTTTTTTTTAAATGGCTAAAACTGTTCATCACTGATGCAAACTAATCAGTATCTCTGGAGATACAGGAGATGCAGATACAGGTTTAACTACGCACCATGTGTGTTTTTGTGTCTGTATCATTTCTGTGTCTATAAATGGTTATGTAATTCGCACATTTGTCCTAACCTGCTGTTTGAACATGTCCATCTGCTCCTGGAGGGATCCCATCATGCTTTTGAAATGATCTGCTTTTTGCTGATTCTCCCTTCGTAGGTTCTGATTGGCCTGTAGCTCATCCGCTAATCGGTCAAGAGCCTCCTGCGAGCTCTCCCATTGGCCAACCTTTTCCTGGTACCGCCTCTCCAGATCAGCTAACTCTTCCTTCACTGAATGAGTTGCCAATTGTGACTCTTTTAGCTACCAATAAAACAGAGTGAATAAGGCATTGGCAGAATTTTAGACTGTAGCTTAACTGAACAATGAAGAGATGTCACACAAAACTTATAGAAAAAGTGTTGATCTTAATGAACTCTACTTTAAATCCACCTGTTGCTGTGAATATCGTAGCTCCTCTTCCAGAAGTTCCACCTGCCCTCGCACCCTCTGCGCCTTGTCTATTGCCGCAGTGTACTTCTGTTTAAAAATTGCTACGGTTTCTTTCTGCTCCTGGCTTTGCAAACTGGCCTCTTTCAGCTTGCCCTTGGCTCTTTTTAGCTGCTGGTGAAGAAGCTCCATGTCAGCCTCCTGCTTCGTTAGTTTCTCTTTAAGTGTCTCAACCTGAAAGCAAACACAGTCAAATGAAACACAAATGTTGATGACAAAAAAAACAACTTTTCATCTCCATTTAAGTGAAAAACCTGCTACATTTTTTTTAGAAAGACCCAAACACTGTTTTGTTTTTTGTTTTTTTAAAGAAGAACAGCATTGGGGATGTGAGAAAATTTACTAAACAGCTGCCAAGTTGTGCAATAAGGAGCTAATATGTGGAGTAGGAAGACATAATGTATGCATGAAAAATAATTAATTATCTTACAAATTTACACTTAAATGCTAAAACCACTACAGCATCAACCATCCTCGTCATCATCATAGTGCTAGTTTAGTATGCTAGTTTGCCTAATGTGGTGCAACATGCTGCATTGCTCTACGGCAACCTCTGTCATAATGAAAGAGGAATCCAGGAAGTGAAACCAAGCTTAATCCCGGCATAACACTAAGAATCCTACCGTGGCTCACCTTTCAAGGGGAGAGGTTGAGAAAGTTAAACCCGCTCTAACACTCATCTTGAGTTCATCCACGTTAATCCCGCTATAATCTGGATCAGAACATGAGGGTTTACGACTAATGACAGCCAACTAGTTAGATTTCAGTGGTTCACCGCAGCTTGGTTTAACCAGGGATTAACTGGGCCCATCTAGGACTAACACTGGATAGAAGGTAGCATGACTGGGTAGAGAAGTTGCTCATGAAAAGACAGAAAGAGACACAAACCGGAGGAGAGGAGAGGAGTCATCAACTGCGATTCTCTATTTTCGAGTCAGAAGCTGAACAGCCTGTGTAGGTGTACGGATGCGCGCGCAAGTGTGTGTGTGTGTGTGTGTGCGTGTGCGTGTGCGCGTGTGTGTGTGTGTGTGTGTGGACTGTTTAAAACCATTGACTCAGTCCATGTACACTCGATTTTATCTGAGTGTGATGGTGGTGAATGTTTTACCCAAGGTTATCCAAGGTAACAGTTTTAAAGTAGCACTATGAAACACACACACACACACACACAATAGCAAGTAAGCTGTCATATGCCAACTTCACCTACGAAAGCTGTATATATTATTTGCTCCGTGACACAGTATTTCTTCTCCTTTAATCAATCCACTACCCTGCAATCCAAACACTAATAATGAAGTTAGCATTTTTTTTCTCTGTTACTGGATGAAAGGCCTCTTAACAAGGCTTAATGGGGACACTATGGCTTTCTTGTGACCATAATCAAGAGCTTGTGCTTTGGAGAAGCAAACAACCGTCATTAAACGCGATGGAAAAAAAACAAAAACAAAACCATTTGACCCTCATGACCTGACGAACCTCGTTCGCCCTGTCCTTTGACTATTCATGGTTGTCACATGACTACCCAAGTTGAGCCTCAGTTGATAATAACTTTATTGTTCTCCTCTTTTTTTTTCCCAATCCTTTCTAGTCTGTATTTCCCTGTCTGTATTCATGTTTGGGTTCAATTAGATATGAGAGGTTGATAAACAGAAGGGTCATCCTGTCTTGTTTAGTAATTCAGATGATGTACATGGGAATATATGTAAGTTGACTATGCGATAAAGCTTGTCTGCAATAAACGGGTCAGTTTGTTGTTGCTGGCAGAAAACCCTGACTGCTTGATTGTCGACTGTGATTTAGATCACTCGCACTCAGATGCATAAATGCATCCGATTTTTCTTTTAATGCTGTTTACTGGATTAACACAGAAAATTGCCATGGGATTGTGGCTCAGCTGACTGACACCTAAACGGACAAAAGACCTGCCTTCTCCATGGTTATGTGCTTCTGACTTAAACTGTCCTTGAGCTTTGCGACCTCCGACTCTCAATCCTTCAGCTTACGGTGTATTTGGCTGAGCTCAGAGTTGTTCAGCTTCAATCGGCTGTGAAGCAGGGCACTGGTCCCCCTCCAGCGTTGCAATTCAGTTGTGTGAACCTGCTTCACAGCTTCCAGGTCAGAGTTCAACTGATTTATAGATTTCACTAGAGGTTTCACCTGTAGGTAGGTAAGATGAAAAAAAAGGTTAAGAGGAGAGGAGAGAGGTATTCCTTACCTGTTGCTGACTCATATGGAGCTGATCGTATAGTTGCTGTTGTTCTGCCTCCTTTTGGTCTTTAAGGTGCTCGATATCTCTCAGCTTTCCGCTTAACTGACAGGCCTCTTCCTCGTGTGCTCTGACCTTGTGGTTCAAGCGTCTTGCCTCTTCCTCCAGTGCTGTCACCTGAGCAAGAAGAGAGAGAAAAAGATGAAAACTGAAAAGGATGGAAAGAAAAAACTTTATGTCGGCATACAACGCACACACAGACTGACAGACAGACAGGAAAAAAAAAAAAAACAGTGAGGGGGTGGCAGTAGCCAAAAAGTGAGGGAGTCAGGCTTGAGTCAGAGAGTTTCCCAGTTTAGTCTCAGGACCAGCTGGGAAAATGTAGGCACAGCAAACATGAATGAGTAACGATTCCCTTTTCCTTAGCTCCAACTTTCGAGGAGCCTTTGAGCAAGGTGCTACGCCTCCCACTGCTCTAATGGAGCTGCTCAGTAGCCAACAGTAGAAGACTATTGCTGGTTTGGGCACTTCCCTCGAGTGGATGTGTGCAACTCTGTGGGTGTAAAGCAGGGCAGTGTTGGAAAAAGAAACACAGGGGTGCTCACTCAACCTAGCCTCAGCAAATGAAAGGAAAACAAAAACAAAAACAAAAAAAATAGCAAGACAGGTTTAAGACCCTTGTAGTACCACCTAGAATTGAATTCAAGCCCTAAGACAAATTTGAAACCCGAAAAGAGAAACAAATATGAAAACATGCTTTTCATGAAACACAGCTGGAATGTGTCAAATAAGCTGTTTTAATGGGATCAAGTGTGACATTTCATACAGTTGATATTGTTCAGTAAAATCTCTCAAATTTGTAATATTACAACCCGAGAAGTGCGACTCAACATAAATCAGCACAAAAAACCCCCACCACACCTGTTTCTGTGTCCCTTGATGCTTTTGTTCAGCTGTCTTCATCTCAGCTCTCAGCTGCAGAATGAACTGATCTCTGCTTCGAACCTAAACCACACAAAAAGACACGTGAAACAAATTGCAAATGTTTCTCGCTATGAAATATTCAGCTTTAAAACATCTACGCAGATTTTGCCGCGTAGTTCTGACCACTGCATGCTTGTGCACACACAGATACTTGAGCGCATGCAGACAGGGACAGAGGAAGAGAGACGGACCTCCAGGTGTGAAGTGTGAAGCTTCTCGTGGCTCAAAGCCAAGTCAGCCTCCAGTCTCTCTTTGGTCTGGTTGAGGTGGACACTCTCTCTGCTGAGGTCCTCCATCTTGGCTCTCAGCTCATCCGTCTCCTCGCTCACTTTCTCCAAAGCCGTCTGTCTTCGAAGCAGCTGTGAATATGCAGTATAATTAAGTCGCTCCGGCAGTTCTACAGTCTCACAGCAATTTAGAACTCAGATTAGGACAACAAATTTTTACTTTAAATAACACTCCGAGAAGAAAATGGAATAATACAATTAAGCAATTGAAGTACTACAAAACCCACTCTAACATAAAATCCACATAAAAAAGAATGATAAACTGATTCAGATTTTGATTCTATTACCAAATACATATTAGAGTAATTACATTTCTTTCATAATGGCATCAAGTGTTCTTTTAACTTAAAAAAGATTTTTATCAGTGATAAACGCTTAAAAAACGATTTTGTATTTTGGTGGATTATAAAGCCGATGTTTTTTTACCTCTTTCTGACATTCAGAGAGCTGCTTTTTATTTTCCGCGAGCTCCCTCACCAGCGCACACATCTTTATCTCCCTCTTCTGTATCTGTAAGACAAAGACATTTTTTCTCGCTGTTAAAGGATGCTGGATTATACTATTTTTTTTAATTGCAATACACAAGTGCACCTTTTCATAATATTTTGACAATGTTACGAAGGATATCTGCTTGATTCGCTGGCAACAAAAACTGTATCTCAGGAAACAGGGGAACTAAAGTCAGTGTTTATAGAATTGAGATAACCTATTCCAGTGTTATTTTCATATTTTTGTTTAGGTAACGCGTAGATGGCACTGCATACAGAGAAATGGTTGTTAATCCTTCTCTAGAGTATTCAGTATGTCTGACAATTGCTTGTGTTTGTCTGTTTCCTTGGTGACCTTCCCTAATTACCCACTTCAGCTCTATGCCAAATGAGTGTGTGTTGTTTGTGTGTACATGTCTGCACGTGCATTCGCGTGGGCGTGATTCCTCACAAGTTTGCCCAGGGGAATGTTTTGGACTTTTTATCTCTTCTGTCTGTGTTCACTGAGTCTGTTTCTTGTCAGAGTCTTCCTCTGTTTGTGGGCAGTTAAAACCGGCCAGGTATGGGTTTTGAGCTAAATAGGTGTTTAATGTATTTTGGAATATTTTATAAAATGTACTAGTCAAAAGATGGGTTAACTTCACAAAAGCACAATGGACAGGACTGTTGTGATTTATAGGTAAACTCATGCAATGAATAAAGATGCTAAATAGCACAACCGCAGCCTCGTCTTACTCTACAACATTACAAAATGCTAATAATGACAAAGACACTATCCGCTTTAGTCTAATTTCAACAGCGTATTTATTACTATTGCACATATTTTCCACTTTCCATGTACAACAGTCCTTCATGCCAAATTGAATCGCCCTCTCTTTCTCCATCCTTGCCCACCTCCTGTCCGTGCTGCATGATCCAGGGATTGTTTTGACCAGAGCTGAGGGCTCGTTTGTAACTGTCCGGAGGGATTGATGGAGTTAACTTGGCTCTTTGACCCCTCACCTCTGGCTGTCGACGGCCAGGCTCGCTAAACACACTAAACCTGAGCTACGGCAAGGGGAGGAGAGAGAGAAAAAAAAAAAAAGAAACTAAAAATCTGCGCACACATACACACACACACACTCTGCCATGCAGCTCAACCACACATGAGCGTTCTTGTAAAGGCTTAGACCCAAACAAACAGGTAGTACCCTGGACAGAAATGATACAGGTTGTGTTTTTGCATTCCACAGACATCAGATAAAACGTTGCCGACGTGCACTTAGGAAAAAAAAAAAAAAAAAACTGACCGAAGCTTTTATTCGTGTTACGAATGCAAGTCATTCCACTTACCCATAGCAAATACAGCGCTCACTTTGTGCCAATTTTCAAATCTTAGCTTGATTTATCTTTTGAGTGTGTGTATGCGTGAATTCCCAATGTGAGTGTGTGATAGGCAGAATGGATGTTGATAAACACTGGAGGATGTCGTGTCAAAACAGACAACTTGTCAAAACGACACGCTAACTAGGTCAATCACAAAGTTTAAGGAGAAACTTTGGAGTGGCGCTTTGGTTTATGCATATCTCTGCGTGGATGTCTATGTGTGTGTGATAAGCTCCTGAACGAATCTGCAGGAGGGGACCTCCAATATCGAAGGTATTTTTAAATCAATGAGCTCTTAAGTGTATCTCAGTCTCAATGTGTTCACACATAACGCACGCACACAACACTCAGCGTAGATAGAATCCCTACTGACAGGCAATGACAAGATAAAGAGAGGGAGAAAAAAGGGGGGAGAGGACGACAGGAGTGGGGAGAAATAATATTTGAACAGTTGGGGGTGGGAGGGGGGTAGTGAAGGGGGGTGGATGAAAGGGAGAAGTGGCAAGGCAAGAAAAGAAATGAGCAATAAGCGAGATCAAGAGAGAAAGCGAGGAGAGAGAAAAAATCTGTAAGCTACTCTGACTGTTGTAAAGCATTGTGAGCAGGACCGACGTCTGTCCATGTCCAACCTTGAAGGCTCCAACAACCTTCCTCAGTGCTGCTTACCTTCCCCCCCCAGTACCGCTCACTCTGCCTCCTTTCATTCCCGTTCTCGCTCCTGTGAAGCCCCTTGTCCATTTCAAAAAAACCATACGATTTGAATTCTTTCAGGAACTACGAGTGCATACTTTTTAAATTCTCTTGATTTGTGAGGACGCCGGAGACACACACACACACATGTCTGAGCGTAACGAATTGATAAAAAGACTGAACATCACACATGGAACTAACATTTGCAGATTTTTGCTTTCATGGAGCACATAATTTCATTTGCTTTGAAAAGTCTACATGCAGTTTTGAGTCATTGATCAGCTCCCACTAATGTATTCAGAATCAAACATTTTTAAATTCACAGTAATGGGTCACAGAGACCTATCTGAAATAAAAGGCCCTAACCTTCACATTTGAATACTTTTTTGAAGTGAAAAAGCTGTTCAACCTCCCCGAATAAAAGGAAGACTCTATGGCCACATTTTGCTACTGCAAACTGAATTCTCCACTCACAAGATCCCCCCCCCCACCTCCTGTCTCACTCAGTCCACCCCTTGTTCTTCCTCCTGTGTGCATTTATGACCTGAGCATTTAAAAAAAAAAACTGCCTCTAGAGAGCTCTGTGTGTGTGTGTGTGTGTGTGTGTGTTGTGTGTGACTTTTGGTCCTGGGAAGATGAAGTAGATCCTCTCTGAGACAAAGCCCCTTGTGATGTTAATGATTTTACTACTTTCAAGTTTCTCACTGGGGGAGTTTGGAACAGCGTAACACTTTAACCTCATGTTGAAATTACAGCAACATGTGGTTATTCACATGATGATGATGTGAGTGAGTTAATGAGATGGAGAGAACCGCTAATAGAGATGGAGGATAAGTAAAAAGGAATTCCGATTTTTTTTAAAAGGGTAGGGAATTAAAGGAATTAGGGAGGACTTTGTGCTTAAATATATTACATTTGCATAAAAAAAGAACAAACATCTGCTGTTATTTAACGCATTTCCTAAGTCTTTTTCTTTTTGTGGTTACAAAAAGAAAAAAAAAAGACTTCAACAACAGACAATAGCTGGACTAAAGAGGATTTGAATATCAAAATCTGTGTTTGGGTAAAATAATAATTGAACTTTTCCTAGCAAGAAAGCGATCAAATGAAAACAGAAAAAAAATAAAACACAGATACAAGTGTGCAGTGGTTTCTAAAATATAAGCCTTTCCCATGTCTACTTCCAAACAGTTAATAAGAGTTTTAAAAAATGACTGGACTAGTCAGTCTCTACAGAAAACTGCTTTCTTTTTCTTCTGAGCAAAGAAGTCTAAGTGAGAGAGAGCGAGTGTACAAGGGAGAGTGAATCAGCAGAGTACATTTAAGATGAAGGAGAGAGTGTTGACAGTATTTGTTCAGCTGTGCTAATGTTAGGACATTTAGAGCTGCAGAGGAAAATACTTAATGCAAAGTTCTCCATTTCATTTATATTCGAGAGGGAGCAGGCACACTCTCTCTCCCTCTCTCTTTTACACACACCTACGACTACCACTGTCCATGCAATGATGGAATGAATTGTGCATGAGTGAATGCAAAGCTGTAAGTGTGACTGTGTGCGCATGTGTGTGTGTGTGTGTGTGTGTGTCCATGTGTGGGTGTGTGAGAGGGAGCTTGTAATACATCAGAGAAAAACCAGTTTTGGTGCATAAAGCAAGGCCAGATGTGGAGCAGAAACCAGATCCCTGGACAGAGTGTAATGGTCCATCCGTTGACTTAACCAATTCAAACATGAAAGACACAACCAGACACACACACACACACATGCACATGTACACACACACACACACACACAGAAGTACGCTGCACAGCAGAGAGAACTGCATACACTGTGCATGCACAACAATACACATAAACATAGACACATTCAACCGACCAGGTTTATGTAAAAACATACAATGCAACTGTTTGCTTCCATCCTGTAGGAAAACTCCTCGAGTGCAATACAAGAGGTTTTAATTAAAATATGCCATTTCCATCAAAGCCCATTTACTGTAATATAACATGAGTCACAGAGCACGCAAGTCTTAAATGTGCACTCTACAAACTGAGTGACGGTTGTAACAATAGCCTCAATGATAGCCAGAAAAATCCTGACCTTAACTCTCACCCTAAACATAGTGAAAAAGAGTATTGTGAGTGAAGAGGCTTGCCATTGAAAAGGATTGAACCCTGTGTGCTGCTTCCCTTTTTTTTTTTTCTTGTTTTACAAATTCAAGCCCTTGAAATTCTTAGGCTTAGGGAAGAGTATCTTTCCAACCTGGTTAATTGAAGGTTAAATACAAACCACTAAGCATTAACATATGCTGCTGGCGTATCACAAGAAGGGCAGAGCACTGAAATGGCTAAAAAGCAATGTAGCATATGACCAAGTCATTTTAGTTTTACTGGAGTCCCTCCTACTGTAGGAGTTTGGACAGTCTTCGTCAAAAGTCTGTCTTCGTCAAAAGTGTGTGTTTTTAATAAGGCTCTAAATATCAGAACATCCCATTACCCATTATCTAAAACCTTATTATCAGCACCATTGTAGAAATAGACAATGCCTGTCACAGTGAATATTACATTTGAAAATTTCATATTTAAATGAATCCCTCACCTGCGTGACCCCTCTTATCAGCCCCATTGTGGGAAAAGACAATGCATTACATTAAAGTGAATATTATATTTAATCTCCAATCCTGTAGAAATTGCGTATCTTTAGTTAACCATTTATTCCCTGACATTGTCCACCTTATGTGGAAAATGCATCGTGACCTGGAGAGCAAGCAAACTCACCTTCAATGTAGTAACAACTCATGGCCAAAACCGGTGAGTCAAATGGGCTCGCAGCACTTTAATTGTTACAATAAAACGACAAAGTCAGACAAGTGAGGTTTTACAGGAATTCATAATTTAATATTTCAGTGAAGACCTTGCAGAAGAAACCAATTACCTTCTTTTCTGTGGCGATACGTGCATCAGTTAGTTCCACCTGCAGACGCTCCACCTCTTTGCCGGCATGGTGCAACTCGTCCTGGATCTTGTCTCTCTGCTGCCTGTCTGTGTTCAGCGTGGTTCTGGTCTGATCCAGGGTCTCGGTGATATCATTCAATGTACGCTCGCTTGTTTGTAACTGAGGTGTGAGCAGAGAGAGGGAGAATGGCAGGGGGCATGTAAGTACAGTTTGTCTACGGATTGAACATCCTCCAGAGGCTTTGAGGGGGACAAGAAGAGCGACAGCCGTAAAGAGAGCTGTGGAGGAGCAGCATGCAAAGAGAAGAATGGGTGAACCATTACAACAAGATGCAAGCAGGAGAAGGAGGGAATGAAAGCATCATTTGGAGACGTTTGCCTCTGCTTTGTCACCATAGCAGTGAAAGGGAACATCATAAAGGCTTTGTGCCAGGCTAGGGAACCCTACAGTTACTGCTTTCAGTCAGGACCAATAAAACTGCTTGACTACTCATCATAAAGCTGTAGGACACTAACTTTAGAGTAGCGTTTCTTAAACTTGGAGGCAGGACTGACAGAGGGTTGTTGTCCTTTTCTTCTCATCAGCCAAGAGAAACAATATGTTGTTCCTAACACTGGGTCCATGGGTCACTGCACCTTTCTAATGTATGAAATCTTCCAAGCAAGCTGCTCATATTCCTGAAAGAGGCAGAAACCAGTTCATTTCCAAATGGTTACATAAACCTGTGACACTGCGATTTTTCAAAATGAGCCCCCAGAACATCAGTAACACGCAATGCAAATACGGTGTTAAAATGATCGTGTTTAAACTGCCGCTGCCGTCTAAGCACTCCAGCGATGTCAAAAAGGTAACAGGGGAATTGAGTTAGTGATAGAAAAGTAAGGGCATAAAGTCGGCATCTAAGAGTGTGTTACTTTTATGTTGAATGTATTTCATTTAGCTGGCTGACAGGCACCCACACTGCTAAAACACTAGCTGCCAGACAAATGACTTGGTTTGGTCAAGGACACAGTAAATGGGTTAATTTAAGCCTAAAACACATCACTGCAACGCGCCACTCTGATACACCTAGAGGGGCGAAAAGAAGGAGAGAGAAAGAAATGCAGAGGGAGGGAGGGAGACAGATAGAGAGAGAGAGAGGGAGAGGGGGAGAGCGAGAGAGAGCGAGAGAGAGAGAGAGAGAGAGAGAGGGAGGGAGGGAGGGAGAATAATAAGAATGAGAGAGAAAGGACAGTGAGAGAAACCTAAAGGCCATTCCATTCATCATGCGTACGACTCTCTAATGTTCACATTCATTACCACTGGTTCTCATTGGGGCAAGAGCGAGGCTGGACAAGGCAGATGAGAGAGGAAAAAAAAGGACGAGAATGAAAGCAGAAAAAAATGAGAATGATCTAAAGTAAAATAATGAATGGAAGGAGAAAAATTATCAAAACAATGTTTAACCCCTCCCCCTGTCTTATTCCCTCTAATGGCTAAGTGATATTCATACAAACATGGTTCTTTATTGTACAACAAGCCAACCCTCTGTGGAGCTAAGATGGTGGCGATGAGTTATTAAATATGGAGAGAGGGCAAGAGAGGGAAGGCGGAGGAGGAGGGGAAGAAGGACAGATGATTAACTGTGAAGGAAGTAAAAAATGAGGAGAATTCCCCAAAGTACCTGACTGGATTTGATTTAGAGAACGTTGCCCAATTCTGTTCCTTATTTAAGAAGAACTCCCCTCCTCTGTGTGTGTGTGTGTGTGTGTAAGAGAGAGAATGTGCTACCTACTTTGCTCTGCAGCGTGGCCAGGCTTTCTTTGAGCTCCGCGTTGCATTGGACCAGCTGTTGCGAGTGTTTCTCCTTCCTAGCCAGCGTTCTCATCAGAGAGTCCTCCGTGGCTCGCAAAGCAACCACATCCTGGTCCAGGTGCCTCACATGATCCTCTCTCTCTTTCATCTAACGTGGAAAAAAAAAAAAAATCTGTGCTCTACATACATGTATAATGTACAGGCACAAAACCATCACACGCCAGACATTTTGCTTTCATTAAGTTTGGGTCTTTGATGCCACTACAGCTTGCGGATTTGACAGCGAAAGAACAAATAAAAGCCGTGTGCTAAATATTAATTTTCCGTCTCTGTGCCGAGACGAGCTGATACCAACACTAAGTCAAGCTGTGGCAGTTAAAGAACATAAATTTATGTAGAAAAATAAATAATGAATCTTTTCTCTCACACATTTCACATTATGCTTCTGTTATTGTGAGCGTACATCAAGTAGGACAAATTCGCATCACTTAGCTGGTTACACTTAGCTGATCTTGTGAAAGGCTGTCTCTTGTGTGCACCACATCTCTACAGTTTGTCCAATGATGTTGGCAAAATGTAGTAAAGATAACTTTAAGTAAAAACAATGCTGTTAGCACGGGTATAAATGCATTAGTGTCTTGCCTTTTGTTTGAAAATCCTATTTAGTCTAACCTTCCAGATGTCTGTTTAAAACTGAAACCTCCACACTCTCACCATCAAGATGGAAAATGTACCTCAGCATCTATAGAAAACTACGCCGGTAAACTAAACTTAATTTATGTGCGCTAAAACTAAATAACTGTTGTTGTGTGTCACTGTACATAAATTAGGGCTTGAGAGAAATTACTGGGAGGGAAAAAGACATAATTTCAAAGGAAGCAGACAGTGGTTGAACTCCTCACCCCATGCATGAATGTGAGTGTGTGTGGGCCTGTGGTTCAGAAGCCCTTTACCAAATCAAAGCCCCTATTCATTAGCACTGTGTTAAATGAGCCCTGTGTTAGATTAGTGAGGAGGCTCCGCAGACAGTCAACACACATACAAACACAAACTTACAAACATATTTACATGCACTGTACGCAAGCTGTGCATACACATCTGTATGCAAGTACAGAGCCTCATCAGACTGCATGATTTAAGATTTGCGAGACTGAAAGACTTGCATGTATAACCACAACTTAGACTTAAAGGCGAGATCAGAGCAAAGAGCAGCACCCTTCTTAACTCCTGATCTCTCGCAAGTTCCCTTGTCATCTCCTCGAACAGCAGACCATGGTTAGGGGCTTGCGTCTTGGCACTGACATAACCCACCTCTGCCTCCTTCAAAGAGCTCTCCAGACACACTACCTCGTGTATACATCATCCAATGCAGTGTAACAGCGAGTTAAAGGTGGTCTTTTTATGCAGTTAAATTATCTGCAGCATTCCTAATGGATGGTAACGATTATAAGCAATGGGGCAGTCAGTGCTGTGACACTGAATTAAAATGACTCTTTCATCTGGATATTCCAGCAATTTTAGTGTGACTATTGGGAAATAAAATAAGTTTTACAAAGCTGAGACAATAATGTGCGAATTTCAGAGCTTCAGCCGCGTTCAACAGATTACACGAGTGGGCAAAAGTTCATCTTCTTTATGCAAACCCATCTCGATTGCAAGAGGGATTTCGGATGAAAAATGAATGTGAAGCAAAAGAGCACATTTTCTATACAATTTAGATATTATTACCATTAATGTAAAACGAAGTTCAAGCAATGGGAACTTCTAAGATTTCAGGCACTGTAATTCTTTTACTGTAGTGACTTATGACTACAATTCATGCTCTCAGACAAAGGCAATATTTAATGTGAACTATATGTATGTACATATAAATAATTAAATGTATTAAATGAAAACATAATTCTTTCCACAGCTAGTTTTAGTTAAGTAATGCCATAGAGTAAGAAAGATAGTGATTTAATTGCTAATGCAACATTGTCTGGTAGCTGCTACAAAGGTAGTTCATACTATCTCATGGTAAAGCGCTCAAAGGACAAACAAAAGGGCGATGTAACGTGACTAAAGGAATAGAAACTTCCTCCCAAACAGCTGAAACATACAAGATGTTGCTATTTTTGCAAGCAAAGGTCTTAAGTATTGCATTGTTTAGCGTTTTAAAGGTCTCTAAACGTTCTGATTTTGAACGAGATAGTCGCGAAATACAACTTTTGCAATACATTAGTCTTAGAAAATCATAAACATTTATATTACTTACCGGTCTACAAACAGGGTATCTTGAAAAGTTATATATTTTTTGCTTTTACTCTTGTTTCTAAATGAATTTATCATTCTCAAATATCAGAAAAACAGTATTCTTTAATCCCACCCATCTATCTAGCTAGTTAAAGATCACAATGTCTGCCAAAATCCTTCCAAGGTCTTTACAGCACTGACTTTCAGAACTCCATAATATTGTTACATAATTAATACATTACGGTGATTTTTTTTCTTTTTTTTTCATCTGCAAATCTGCCACCATCAGAGATGATTAAAAGTTCCCATGTGGTCTGTGTGAAGACTTAATTCTCCAGTGGGGGAGTATAGGACCTTGGCTGGAAGTCCGGAAGAAAGAATATCAGATTTGTGATTTTATTTCAAATGAGTGCTTAAGCCTTGGACTTTCATATTAGTAGAGCTCCTATTGAGAGAGAAACCTCAATCTGATCAAGTCTCATTACTTTAGCAATCAAAGTTTCGCCCCTGGGGTCCTCCCCCTCAACTCCTGCCTCCCACCTCCTCCCGTCTCTCTTTCTTTTTTTTTTCTCTCCTCCCAGCCATCATATGTTTTTTTGCCACCAAGGCAGAGAAGAGGAGAAAAGGGAGAGTGGCTTGCGCAAATCCTTGATTGGCCAAAGTCTATCCTCCATCTAGGATTACGAATAGAAATGGAACATTTGAGGACAAAGAAAGGAGGGGTGAGATGGGAAGAGACAGAGAGAAAAAAGAGAGAGATTGTGGGTTAGAGAGAGATGTGAGTTGCAGAGTTATGGGCATGGAGAAAGAGGGAGAAAGAGAGAGAGAGAGAGAGAGGGTGGCTAATATAATTGAATTAAAAAGATGGAGCGGGGCCATTTCTAAGCAGGTGGGAGTGTGGAGTGAGAAAGAGCAGGCGAGATATTAACTTCTAATAAAAGAGAGATTAGAAAGTGGCTAGGAGGACTGCTCTGTCTTTACCTGTGGGAGTGACGGCCCCCACATAACCTTTCACTGCAATATGCACACCGATATTGGCCGCCATATTCTGAGCATACCACACACAGACGGGCAAATACATATACACAAGCATTCACGCGTTTCTGCACATTTGCACCAAAAGGAACCACACACACAGAGTGTACGCGCACACATATATGCAGAAACATATGACATTTGAGAAGACATACGAGTGCACGCACGTAATGCGTTATCAGCTTTCATCCAGTGATCCAACAGGCGGCAGTCATCAGATAATGAAGACACAGCTCTTTGGGAAGCCACTGCCATGCAGACAATTAATTAACTAATTGCTCTAATGAGCTTGTTAATGCCACGGTTTTTTGGCAGCCTGTGTGAATACATTAACGAGGCTAATTCAATTAAACAGGTGCAGATTTCACAGCTGCCTCTCTCATGAGCACACACTCACACACTCACACACACACACACACACACAGATCCTACAGGTGTTGTGTACATGTTCGCTCCATTTGACTCTGATGTCTTTTTCAGCGAAACCTTGGCATTCGATCAAAAGCATAATGATATGCAGATCAAGTGGTGTGTACTCGTGCATTTGTGTGTATGTCTGTCAGTGCTTTTGCCTCAATGGGCCGGTGTGCCTTTGAATCAAGTAGAAGTACAGCTCAATAAGCTCTACCAGCAATGGTAATCTGTATAATTGAAAGGGTATAAAATAAGTGGGTGGAAAACTGATTGAAGCGCTATGATAGCACAGTTAAATTAGCTAACAGAATCCCAGGGGTCAACCAATAATGTTAGCCAAGGCTTCGCAATGCAATACAATTAATTTGCTCAAAAGCTTTTCAGTATTATACATTCATGTGTGTGGGTTTGACAAAAATAGCTGTGAACTGCAAGTGAATAGCACTGAGCATTTGTCTTCACGCTACCCGCCCATCCCAAGACTCGGCAGCCCACGGTCACAAACACTAAAACTGGGGAAGCAGCTGTGACAACATTTTCCACCAGAAAGACCCATTCATTTAAGAATTTGTAAAATGCCTTTAAATTCCATACAAGCATCGGAAACATTTGAAGCATGTTTATGTGCGCTCATCTTACTTTTTGTTTCGCTCCATTAAACTCTTCAGTTAGTTGGACGATCCTTGCCTCTTTCTCTTCCATCCTTTGGTGAAAAAAGGCGCCGAGCTCATCCTTCAAACGCACCATGTTGGCCTCGGCCTGGAACACAGAGCGTTTCATATTCATTCACCGGACTAAAAAGCTGTTGTATTTTCACTCAAATCTCTTCTTCGGTTTTGCTCATGTGCTATCTTGGTTCACAAATTTCTATTGTGAAAACTGATAAAGAATTATGAGTGATATTGCATGGAAATAAGAAAATATAGTCTATGAAGTTGCTACGGTTCTGTAACCATGGTTGTAGGATTTTTCTCACTCTGGACAAATAATAGACAACACACATATGTTCATACAAGCATCACTCATGTCTTGGTCACCCAAATACAATCACAGCAGAATGTGGCTTCTTGCGATGGCGTGAGATGTGAGTTCAGCAGGTGAGTGCGTCTCCTTGTGTAAAACTGAACATGATTGGTGATTTGATGAGTTTGGTTTGTTATGGCAGAACGTACAGTAGAAGCTCCCTTACTGGCTGACAAAAGCGCTGAGGTTGGTGCTTAGCTAAACTCCCCTGGAGATGATACCACTGATTAATTTGCTCCATCTTCATCGCCCCCACCCCTTCCCCCCCCATCCATAAGTCCGCTTTTCCTCCCTTCCCCCAGCCCCTTCAACCATTGCTGAATATTAAATCAGTCCCCCCCCCACCTTCTTTTTTTTTTTAATTTCCAGATAACCACCGTTCATTTTTCTCCTAGTGTCATATAGCCATGACATGGTGTAGCAGCCTATATATTAGGGACGGCTGATGTGAGTTATTGTGATTGTTATCTTTTTTCCATTTACTGCTTGTGTGTCCTACTGTACACTATGCATGGCTAAATCATTACCTGTGCATGTGCTACAAATATCGAGCAACACCATTAGTAATTTGCAGTGAAATTTCCTATCTTGACAGTTAGACATGCTCGTGTTGCTGTGTTTAAGAAGCAAACAGCACCGATATAAATATTGCCAGTGGTGTTTTGTGTAGTGTTTGTTTCCTGCTGGCTAATAATGAAGTCTGTGTTGGAGTGTATGTTTATGTTTGTGTGTACATGTTAGTTAGGAAAAGGGGGCAAGAGAGGTGCACGTATACTGCGTGCTTTCTAGTGACTCTGACTTTTGCTGCTTGATACTAAAGAGGTAACAAAGAAGAAGCACACAAGCAAGACAGAGAGCAAACCTGCAGTTTGTATAATGCATAAACAGCACATGTAGTGTTTGCGTATATGTATGTTGCATGTGTGAATTGTATGTGCAGTTACACACTTGGGCCATTAATGTGCGCACATGTGACCGCAAACTCAGACAGACACACACCCTGGGTGTCATCACTCAATGTCCCAGCTGCAAATGAAATCTCATTCTCTCTAACAATCTCTGTAGCCCACTCTAGAATATCTCACTCCCCCCTGACTCCCTCCCCCCCCCCCTTCCTTTTTCTGGGTCTTCCCTAAATCACACCCTGTTTTTTTTCTTTACCAATCTGCACACCTGTTAAATATATTTATCAGAAATGCATGCTGAGCAGAAACCTTCACATGTAAAACATGTCTGTGTGGTAATTTGTGTTTATTTGTCATTAAATATTTATTTGCATTTTGACCCGATTTAACCCTTTACAACCCTTTCACCCGGCTCTGTCCTGTAGTCAGACATGTAACAACACTGTCTGCTCTCAGCTTTTAGTTTTTCCTGCCTTGTGTTGTTGTGCCTTCCTATCATCATATTACTTCACATCACCTGCCTGCATAGCCTGGAACCTCGCCCTGGAAACTGGGGAAGTGGGAAGTGATTTGGAAAAATGAGGGCAATAAAAAAAAAAAAAAAAAACACAGGGATGAATGGAGAGATGTGATATAAGGTAATATGCTAACCCAATCAGCAGGCTGCTGTTTGCCGACAGTATAATCAACATATCGGCCTAATGTCATTACAGCTATATGAGAAATAATATTGCGTGAAATGATATTGCGCGGCGCGTGCATGCCTGTGTGGCGCACGCATGAACAAGCTCACACATCCAGATGTATGTATCCGCAACCACTTCCCACACGCAGACACACAAAGAGACACAAAGATGCAAAATCCTGCAATGCACACAATGCAAAAATTGATGCTGTTTATTCCTGTATTAGGACTTTTGCTTTTGTTTTAATGTTCAGTATGATGAATCTGATGATAACTTGATGTTATTGATTAGCTAAACATATTTATATTATTTCATTACTCTGAAAATGAATTTAATTTCTGAAGAGTATCTTAAAAAGTGAACCAGATTCACTTGAAGAGATAGATCAGTTAAAATTGATTTATTTTTTTTTTCTACTTAATGTGCCCGCACACATATTCATCTGTATATTCACACACGCAGACTGCCCACTGGCTCTGACACAAGAGGATATTAGTTAGTGTGTGGCTTCCATATCCTGAATGCATGAGGCCGCTGATGGCCTCTATTGATGGACACTGGCGTGAAGCCATCACTCAAGTTATGGAGCTTTAATTGGAGACAGCATAAAACGATAAACCAAGAAACATGCATGGCTGAACAGCCCAATGTAAACCATTAATCATAGCATAGGCAAAGACAAGTGGCCGCCACATACACACACGCACACACGGATTTCTCTTTGTGTGCGCACACACAGCTGCAGAAGCACACACACACACACACACACACTGCTCTTGCGCCACACACCTTGCATATGTGCGCGTGACACACATACACACACACGCTGAGCATGGCAGAGACAAGAGTCCCAGTCACATATTCTCATGATAGATGACCCATTTAACTTTGATTTCTGAGAGAAATGAGCTTGCCAGCGATACAGGGTTACCACACAAGTGTGCGCGCACACACATACTTACCCACTCATTCATAATATACATTGATGCTATACATGAGCTACATATATGAACTCACAGTTTGCATTTAGCTTATATGTAAATAACAGTTTGTTTTATTTTGCAGACATGTATTCAAGCCAGCGTTCACTTTCTCTCTCACACGCACGCACACAGACACACACAGCAGCACTTATTTGCATGAGGAGGCTTATAATATGGGGATGATTTGTGATGTAAGCAATAAGAAGTGAAGTAATTCATCAGTAGCTGTGTATAACACACATCTCCACTGGTTATAAATATACACACATACAAAGACACACACACACACACACACACACACACACACGTACGTGCTTGTAAAACCTGCACAATTCTATAGAGGAGAGTATAAATCAGAAGCACAAAAACTTGGCATGAAGGAAGACCTGTTATTAACGCAAATACACACAAATTTGCACTCACAGCCATTCCACCCTCCATATAGTTTAAAAAAAAACTGACAGACATATATGTTTTGTTGGAGGTTGGATTCATATGTAGCCCTCCTCAAAGCTATAAAGCCTGTAAAACAAGTCACCAGTGTAGTGAGTGTAGCATATATGAGTTTCTCTTAAAAATGTTGTTATGCATACATTGGAATATTAACTGGTTCAGTATTTTACAATGTGTCTCAAATCTTTTCATATAACTAAATCTGGCTTGATTTGACTCTGTTTTATTACTTGACTAGTGCAGCTTATGAATAGTGACTTTCAAATATGAAACTCAGCCATGCTATCTCTTCTAGCACTAAAGCAGGGTAAAAATAAATATTTTATATCCTATACGGCCTGGAAATTATTAAGAGACAAGACTATTACCTGCGTATTATGTCAGTGATGTAAAATATTTTTAAAAAGCAGGAGAACTCTAGGAAAGTTACAGAACTAGGTGGGGACAGAGACTGTTTATTAGATAGCTGTTGGAGTAGACAGAAATGTGATTTGTTCGGAAAGAAAAGGGTGCTGTTGTGTAATTTTTTTTCAAGCAAGAGGAATTCTCACATTAAAAGGGACGATGAGAAGCGACTGCTGCTATGACTGCAGTGAGAAGGTTATTCGTCCAGTGGGAAGATAACAAAAGAAAGCTCAAGGCCTCAGTGTCAGTGGGTTGATCAAGTCAGCAGGCTGACATGGAACCAGAGCAAGAGAGAAATTACAAAAACAAATCTGTCTCTTTTTTTTTTTTCTCCAGTCTGTACCATTTCCTAATATTTTGATACACAAGCACGTCTGTTCTAGCTCTGGTCCCATGAGCAATTAATTTTTTTTGCACAGTTGTAATGTTGTAATCCAGACCTTTTCCTATTTGGTTTTTGATTGCAAATGTTAACGCCCCGCAACCACCCCACCACAGCCACTGTCCAGTGACATATGAGACAGTGTTGATATTTAGACAGATAGATGATCCATTAGAAGGATAAAAAAAAAAAAGTCCAAACGCACACAAACACATACAACGCGCGCACACACGTTCCATACAGCGGTTGCAGCCCCTCAGCGCTCCTCTGTCCTCACATGCTTGGTTTCCCCATCTAATTGCTGCCATTCGTCAGTGTGTGCGTGCGTGTGTGTGTGCGCACGTCTGTATCTCATATACTCCTGTACTTTGTGTTTTTTTTTGTGCTTCCTTTCTCGTGATTCTGTCACTGTGCATTTGCAAACGGCGACAACAGTGAAAGAAACAAATAATCAGACAGACAGGTAAGAATGGCAAAAGAGAGAAAGACAGAATGATACAGAGGCAGACACACACACTCACAGAGCTGTCACAGTGCCATAGGGCATACAAAACCTGTCAGCATTTAAACCTGCTGGCTTGTGCTCTGGCTTGCCAAGTGGAATTAGTCTCATGTAATATGCCAGCCTCTTTATCAAAAACAACCTCTAGTCTAACCATACCATTTGTACATTTTAAATACAATCACTTCACCGGGTACAACAAAAGTGTGTATAGTTTTTGTTTTTGTCAGATGCATTTAAGCAAATCTCCGAAAGGTGCAGGCTTTAGGAATGTGAGTATGCATAGGCACAGTCAGCAACAAGAAGGTGTTAAAAAAAATAGAATGCAAAACATATCCTTGATCATTGGTAGGGAAGCTTCCAAATAATTCTCCAGAGTGGAGTAAATCAAAGAATCTAACTGCGTAAAACAAGTTAATT